AATCAATCAATCAATCAATCAATCAATCAATCAATCAATCAATCAATCAATCAATCAATCAATCAATCAATCAATCAATCAATCAATCAATCAATCAATCAATCAATCAATCAATCAATCAATCAATCAATCAATCAATCAATCAATCAATCAATCAATCAATCAATCAATCAATCAATCAATCAATCAATCAATCAATCAATCAATCAATCAATCAATCAATCAATCAATCAATCAATCAATCAATCAATCAATCAATCAATCAATCAATCAATCAATCAATCAATCAATCAATCAATCAATCAATCAATCAATCAATCAATCAATCAATCAATCAATCAATCAATCAATCAATCAATCAATCAATCAATCAATCAATCAATCAATCAATCAATCAATCAATCAATCAATCAACCAATCAATCAATCAACCAATCAATCAATACAATCAATCAATCAATCAATCAATCAATCAACCAATCAATCAATCAATCAATCAATCAACCAACCAATCAATCAACCAATCAATCAGTCAACCAATTAAACAAAAATCATACAAACAAAAAAAACGAACTGATTTAACCGAGCAACCAATTAATAATTTTAACCAAAGAAACGAGTAGAGGACAAAGTTGAAGACCCTGTTGATGGAAATAACATTATAAATTCGCCCAAGACAACAGAAGAGGTTTGGCCTCTACGCCTTCATCCTTCTACCTAATATTTTATCTCATACTTTTTAACAATTTTCTATTTTGTATATATCGGGTATAGAACAAGGATGACGGAGTGTATGCGAATAAAATGCGCGTGACTCCACGCATAACATACATCTTAAACATACATACATAACAGATACCTTTGCCATTGTGGCGTTATAAAATTATATCTTACACTGGGTTTGAGAATCGCTGAATTTAAATGAAATGATATAACTAATCAATTAAATAATATATTAATTAATTAAATTGAATAAGTAAAATTATTTATAATTCATATTTATATTAATTCTTAATTCATTTGTACTTTCTAGAGAATCAAGGAAATGATGGATAAATTGGTAAAATGAATTTTTCAATTAAAATTGAATTGAATTAAAAATTGATTTAAACTAACTTTTCTATAAAATGTTTTTTTAAATTTATCTATCTGTTATTCAAATCAACCGACTAACCAATCTCTCAATCAATCAATCTATCAATCAACCAAACAACCAACAAACCAACCGTTCAAACAACTTACCAACCGAACAATCAATCAATTAATTAATCAACTAATTGAACAATCAATCAACCAACCAAACAATCAATCAAATAATCAACCAACTAACCAACCAACCAATCACCTTCCAGGGTAACTCAATGCTAAGTCACATGGACCACATAATCATCGGCATTGTCTTCGCCATTGCTGTCATTGCCATTATAGTTATCTTAGCTTTCATCATCAAGTACAAACTCGCCTCTAAGAATTAGATCAGATGAGGATGAAGATGAGTATGAAGATGATGATGGTGATAATGATAATTAACTAAGTGTTTCATAACATTAGCTTAATGATGATGATGATGATGTCCAGAGTTAAGTGATAATTTAATATTTCCGGTGATAATGATGAAAATGACATCAACATTAATACAGTTTATAGCTTTTTTGTCTACTTAGATATCTATGTAGGAACCGGTTTATGTAATGATATTTATCAAAAAAATTGTTTATTTTGATTGAATATTGTTTAAAATTATTTAAAATTATTAACCTTGAACGATCTTTTTTGCTGATGTTATGTTTGGAGAATAAAACTCATTGCAATTTGTGCGTGTTGGCTTGCTTCATTTTGAAATTAAATATTAACTGGGATTAATTACTCAAAAGTTCTTTTAAAAATTTTAACGTAAATTAGTTCTTTATTATGTATATCAATTCTCTCTTCAACATTTTTCAGGGACACCAACCAACAGCAAACACACACTACATGTACTAAACACACGTGAAACAGCGCACTACACACACACACACACACACACACACACACACACACACACACACACACACTGCGTGTGATATGTGGTGATCTCTGTGTAATTGAATCTGGTCAATGCAATATCGTTGCCAAGCCGTTAAACTATCGCTCCGCTCATATTCACCGTTAAAATTTAAAATAAATAAATAAAATGTCATTAAAACTATGTGTATTCGATTTTATTTCTTCCAAACTCTAAACATAATGACCAATTATTATTATATGGTCCTATTAACCGGCTTCCACAATATAGAATATATGGAATATATATATATATATATATATATATATATATATAGAGAGAGAGAGAGAGAGAGAGAGAGAGAGAAAGAAAAAGAGACAGAAAGAGAGAAAGAGAAATGGAGAGAAGGAGAGAGCGAGAGAGAGAGAGAAAGAGGAAGAAGAATCCATATAGAAAAATGTTAGTATTGTGATTTTTAAAATGTTTTAAAGTAAAGAGCAAACACGGATAATAACAAAAATGCTTTATTCAACCTGACAAAATTACACACCATTAATTCGTTGTGAGGTTTTCAAACGTTAATGCCATCTCATTAAATTAAATCTAATTAAAAAAATTGAAGCCAGTTAAATCTAATGAATTTGTTTTATTCGTAAGAGCATCTGACAAGTTATCAACTCTTCAAATGAACAAACCATCAAAATGTGCGAACTGTAACGTTCGAATATTAACATGTGTTTATAAAGCAGGTGGCTAAAATTGTGCAAACTTCCAAAGGATCAACGTCCATTTGAGTTTTTCCAATAAACATATCCAAACAACACCAAAAACTGTTATACTTCTATATCAAATTTATTTTAAACACCTGACTGACATACAGATTAGAAAAAAAAATTTTTATTTGAAGTTAATTTAAAAAGAACTTTACCAAATTATCATTCAACATTTAATTTAATCGCCCAATATATGTATAGATATATCTGAAGAAAAAATTTCATTTGAAGTTTATTAAAACAGAGCTTTAAGTCGTCTGGTGCAATGAATAAGGGCGCCATTCTTTCTAGGCCTTACGACTAAGGGGCTTGACGATGCAGACAAGATAGAGGGTAAGACCAAGGATGAGCCAGAAGAAGGAGATGCCGATGGCGGTAGCGACGATGGCGATGGCATGGTTTCTCCATCCCTCGGCGAATCTTTTCGTTGAATTGCTAATTCCTTCCGTGACTGGATGGGTGGTTTTGAAGGTGGTTCAGTTTGTGAATGGGTGATTTTGAGGGTTTTCGTTGTTAATGTTGTTGTGCTTTCGTGCTTTCGGTGAAGTTTTGTGGGCTGCGTTTGCTTGTTTGTCGAAGATGACAATAGGATGGGTGGAGTATTACATGCATTATTTAGTTAAATAAAGATTAGTGCTTACGTTTTGACGCCATGATAAGGCTCATCATCTGACAGGCGACAATGACCAGAAAGGTCAAACGTTTCAAGGTCGTCGAGGTCATTTCTTAAGGTCACGTTTGTTTCTTATTTTTCTGGAAATAATAAATATAATGTCCACAATAATCTTTTAAAATAATTAAATAATAAATTGATAAAAATGTAACGATGGATGAAAAAATATGGAATGGCATCATATAATTATAATAGTTAGATAATCAATTAATTAACTTATTTATTAATAATGACAGCAATGAATAAAAAATATTTAAATAATTGAAATAAAAATTTTATCCAACCGGCTGAAGCGATTGAGGTCGAAATCTAGATAGCCAGTAATGTCTTTGCTGCCTATTCTAATGTATGTTAAAAAGTTACTCGATTATGTATTTATATGGGTATGTGTTAATGTGCATATGAATATGTAACCATGGTGATGATGAGGATGATCAAGACGATGGTGGTGATGATTATGATGATGAGGAGGAGGAAAAGGAAGAGGAGGATGACTGATGCATATGATGATGATGCTACTGATATTGATGATAGTATGATGATGATAAAGTTGATAATAATGACATGGTGATGGTAAAATTAAAATGGTTCGTTTGTCAAATTTTTTGCCATAGATTTTCTTGCTAAATTATACTACTCTAATCCAGATGTAATCGTTAATTTTCAACATACCGAATAGTTTAAATCAGGAGTGGGCAAACTTTTTGCTGTGAGGGCCGCATTGAAAACTATTTTACATTTGAAGGGCCGCATATGTACTTAAATAGCAAATATTTTCGACCCGTGGGAGAATTTTTTTCAAATTTGTGGTTCCTTTTTTGGTAAAAATGCCTGGCTGACGACATTTTTGTGGCGAACGAGGCCTCACAGGCTGCACAAAATAGATTCGCAGGCCGTATTTTGCTCACCCCTGGTTTAAAGAATCGGATATTATCGAATCTTCTACACCCAAATACTGTGACTGTTACATTGCTATTTTTTTAAACCAACACCTGCTCTGAGCACTTTGAATAGGAGTGCATTTGCATGAGCGTGGTTTTTTTGGAGGATTCAAATATGAAAAAAAAAATACTTTTTCAAATTTAAATTAGCAATATTTGCGTTCAACAAACAACAGTAACAACAACAACAATTACAACAAAAATATTAACAACAACAATGGCAACAACAATAATAACAACAAGACCCCCATACACACCATGGCTACTACT